TAATGAAAGTCTCACAGTGCAAACAGAACTTTTCTGCAGTGACTAAAAAGTCATCAACAGATGACAGTATCTTAACAGGTGCTGCAAGTAAATGACAGAGAGGCTAACACAGATACAGAATAAGAGGGTAAACTATAACAGGATGAACAAATAGGAAGCAGCAAAATACATCATTTAGGCACACTGTGTATTGCTGCACAATAATGAATTTTAAACTTTTCCCTAATGACAAGCATTTATCCTTTAGCAACCAGAAAAAAATAAATGCATAGAACAAATAGAGTTGCCATTGTAAGACAAGAGCCATGTATAGTATTGCATGTTTTGCTTTCTGCTGAGGCTTATCGGAACTACTGTGCTCTGAAGGGTGCAGAGCAAGCAGTGCAGCTTGCTGGCAGCATACCACTCTGCTCTAACTTAGAACAGTACACCAATGCAATCTAATTTCAGCAGTAATAGAAGAGAGTCAGATCTGTATTTCTGGAGGCCCTCTCTCAAGGCATGACACCAAATCTTGACTTTAGACAGCACGGGATGCTTGCTATCATGTGTGAGCACATGCACATACACATATCTCCGCTGCAAATGCTATCTTAACAGTGGTTTTGTGTCTCTACTTAGAAAGACAGCAATCTATATAGAAATATGCTGTGGTCATATCTGACATTTCTAAGGCCTGTAGGGTTGTCCATGCTCTTCCTAGGAGTCCTTCCAGAATTCATTTCGGTATCATTGAATCATATTTGATTCTGCTACATGCACTAAGTGGTCACTTGTCAGAATGTTTCTTTCACAGCTGGGTAACAAGTTGATAGGTGATATCTCTATGTGATAGGCCATGTTTTACCAGCTGCACCAGTAAAGTCATATTGTTCCCATCCACAAACCAAATATGTTTTACTAGTGCTCACCTCCACCTCTGGGACACTTTACAGCACCCCAGATGTTCCCTATTAAAATGAGCTTCACTGAGTCACAAATAATAAAAAGGTTACCATAAAACAGGAAAGAGACACAAGTATAATTTTTAAAAAATCACAAACTTTTGAATGCTTTGAATTAATCTATTATTAGATCATTTTTCTTCTACTGAATAAGTAATTAATTATTAATATTCAACAGTCATTAAAAGAACTCTTCAGTGGTTATAGATCCCTCCCTGTTCACCAGAGAATTGAGCTGGATGAAAGCAACTTTATACTTTGAGCGTGAAAGAAACAAACAAGACAGTTCCAAAAGCCATTGTTTTGACACTTAATTCTCAAATCCACAGACAAAGACCTGATATTGCTAACAGATTTAAATGGGTTGAAACTTTGACTTCTGGCCATTTCTATTAGTGAAAGAAAAATTACACGTATAGTTTAACTACTTAGGAAAATAATGCAGGAAATATAGAGTTGACCTCAATTTAGCAGGAGAATTCCTACTAGTATTCCTAAAACCAGACTGCAACCCATCTTGTATGAATGTCTGTGAATGCTAAGATAATAGCTCCATAACTGTTGATTTCCTGATGAAGTGGGAAGAACGAGTTTTAACTTAATGCACTACATTCGCCTGTGCAGAAAGGTCTTCTATAATATAAATTTAAATATACAATCTGTTTTACAATGTTTTCCATCATCTTTTCTCTCCATATGTTCTCCCACTAGGAATCTAATGAGTTCTACATATGAGGGATGACAAGGGAATATGTCTGAGAAATAATTCGAGCAATTACGGCATATGGAGGCATTGTTTTTGAGTCGCTTCTGCCATGAACATTAGGCAGAGCATCTGGGACCAAATTCTGTCTACCTGCCCATGGACAGTAGCAAAACCATCATCTGCCATTTGTAAATTCTGCTGAGGTAATCTGCCACAGAGAGAGAGGACCATTTCATCAGCTTTATGATCAGAGAGCATATTGAAACACAGGCCATTTATACTTAGAGAAAAACGTTTCTATTCAGATAAAACAGTTTGAGCTGGAAAACATTCTGAAAGCTAATGATAGAAAATCATCATTTCTCTTTTTCTTTTATCTCCAAGAAAAACTACAAAGAGCCCATATTTAGTTCCAGGCCATTATTTTTAAAAGAAACTTTTCTCATCACTTACGAAGTTTGGTAAGAACTGACTCTCCCAGCTAAAGAGAAAATTACTGAAGAAAAATAGAAAGCACAAAAAAACCTCGAACTCCAAACTGGTAATAGGAAGAATTATATTCTATACATCCAAATATTAGCAAGACATCCAGAATTAAAAATAAAGAGAGAAACAGAAAAAACAAGAGCTTTCTTATAAGGAGCCATAGTGAGAAAAACAACCACCTTGCATTTTGAATGTTCTGGATACAAAGATCTAACTAAAAAGACATAAAGCTGGAGAATTTAAGATCAGTTTTTGACATGTTTGTTCTAACAATAAGGAGAAAAGACTGAGAAATTCAACCAATATGCCGATAAAGTGTACACCTGCAACTGCACCTATTTCATCATTTCCAAGAAAAATCTCTCAGCGATGTAAATAACATTAGTATTTTTACTTTTTTTTTCCCATTATGCACTGCTGAATTTTAAGAAAAGTAATACATCCCAAAGTGCAGGGTCTCTAGTGTTTCTCAGTGGTATTGTGGAGAAAAGAATGGCCCTGTTGTTACAGAAGATCTACACAGACTTTTATAGTTATGAACATAAGCATAATTTGAAGAGCTAATATAAAACATTAGCAAGATTACATATGGACAGCAATACTTTTATTACACAAATTATTCTTGAACTTAGTTGGACAATAACTGTTTTCAGAAGTAAAAGCTGGCTATAGTTCAAGCCTTTCAGTCATGGCTAATATTGATCTGATGAGTTATGTTTAATCAAGAAAATCAAGAAAATCTATGATCAAAGAACAACTGGACTTCACTTCCCATTGCCACATAACAGTACCTGAATGGTAGTAAGGAGGATTTGAAAACAGAGAGAAAGTTATTTAATCATTAACCTCAACAAGGACAAGCACATGAATTTTGATTTGCTCATTCAGGATTTTTTGAGCAAAATACTGGACACAAAATTTTGAAAGCTTTATCCAAGGCACTTTGCCCTTTCTACAGTCTAGTTTTGGAGCAAATCCCAGGAACACAAAACAGATATTTACACCACTCTAGAGAACAGAACCAAGGACTTGCTGTCACCACCACAAAAAGCCCCAGCCTGGATTTCTGTGGGTTGCTGCCTGTATGCAGGATCCACATCCCCATAATCTCCATCTCTGGTAATGAAACCATACTACCATGGTTTTGCCTAGCCTGGCATCCCACTGATAGAAGTCTGAGAAAGAGCAGTCATTCCCCTACAGAATTTTTTCCCAGCTGACACAAGCAATGGTCCTCCTGCCAGAGGCTCTAAAATTAATTTTGGATTAAAAGATGTTGGCAACATTTGTCATCACTTGTCAAAATAAACTTGTGGGAAATTTACCCTTTTTATATACTAGCTTTTGTAATCACCACATAAGAAGTGCAGATGAATACAGAAGATGCAAAACAACCAGCCATGGAAGGCATTTTTGCTGAAATATTCACAATGACAGTAAAGCGATAGCAGAAAATTATGTACAGGAACAAGATCAAAGATGTAATGTGGAAATATTTTCTAATGCTATAAAAGAATAAACAGAAAAGTTTTTCAGGATACAAACTGTGTTATGAACACTGATCAAGTGATTAGGTAATTCTCATTATTTAATATCATTTAAATAATGTGAAAACATTTATTGCTATCCCATTGTTCAGGTGTGACGTGTTTGATTACAAACCAATCTAACCATTGGCAAGAAAAAAAGAGATAAAGGCAATACTGCTATTACAAACCAACACTGTGTCCTTTTCCCTTGTCAGTATCGTTGTTAACATCCTACTTGTAAAATTCAAGTCATGAAGGAAGAGGCAGTAAATCAGCCAAAAAGAATGCCAATCACATCTTTCTGTTTGGGTGTTACAGACAGTCACAGTCATGCATTACCCAGATAGTTATAAAAGCCTGCTGTACAATCATAATTAGGAAAATAACAACAGCAACAGCAACAAATAAGCTGCATATACTTTCAAAATAACAAACTTTTAGTAGGTATTTTGTTCTAAAATATATCTGATGCAGATTTTTGGATTTTTTTTTTTTTAAGCTCTATTTCATTTTTATTAGATCTGGCTTGGAATTTTTATCATTAAAACTCATATCAGGATTTCCTTTTCATTTTGTTGAGCTGACCCAGTATGTTTCACTTTGAAAGGTTTGAACAAAGCAGTCAGTCTTTCCATTACTGCACTCCCATACAAAACTGCAGACAGAGACCACACATTTTCTAATGATTCAGAGCTCTTGATGACTACTGAGTTTGAAAGGACACACGGATTTTCCTCTGATCTTTATGCCTGATAATGTTTTTATTCAAATGTATATCAAATAAAGTTGGAAGCAGAATATAAGGAATGAAGTAGAAAATGAAGAATAATTCATCCCCAGACACCCACAATATGAATGTCCATAGCTGACATGAGCTACTACATTGAGTCACTTCAATTTTCAAAGACACCACTGCTAAAACAGACACAGTGGACAGCTGAACTATGGTTCCCACATTGCCCTGGGATTGACCAGCAGAGCTCACTGGTTTTATTTTTTAAAGCAGTTCAATAAATGAAACCAAACATTACCATTTTAGGAATGTCTACCATGACATTTTCAGGAATACTGTGGGGGAAAAAAGCAGTGTTTGTATTCAGCCTAACCTAAAAAGAGCAGTGCACCCACTTGAATTTCCCATGATAATGCTAGAACAGTTGCATTAGATCAATTTCCTTTGCAGAAAGATCTTTCAAACTAGTGGGAGAGAATTCCAGCTCTACTGAGTAAGTACAAAATTAATAAAACCTTTGAAATTCTCACTCACTGAACAAAATTATTTTGTTCTACATGTAAACAAGATAGATCTTCAAAGTGCACATCCATTCAAGGAACTCTGTTTTATATCACAATTTTATTCACTTGTTATGAATTATCACAACATTAATCTACTGCAGATAATCTACTCGGTATATTTGAAAATCCATTTATTTTCACTTATTGATATGCATGTGTTACACTTGTATATAATACAGTATTTTCAGTGTTGGTTTAAGAACAAAGGAACAAATAAAACGATATTGAGAAGCATGATGCGGACCTTCAACCAAAGACAGTTCATATTCAGATTTTACAAAACACCACATTAATACTTTGCACTGTCCCAGTCTTTTTAAGATGCTACCTTCCATCCTGCATTAGCACATCATCCGTTAGCACAAATCCATTCATTACTAATCCATCCTAAAATACCGAGATACCTAATTGCTGCTACAGTTTATCCTAACTAAATTTCAATCAGAAAAGAATATTTTTCCCTGCCAACATTTTTTATTATTTCTCAGCAGAATGACAGAAGATATTTCTCAATTTTATTCCCAACAATCATTTATTTTCTTTAAGATCTCCTGTGCAGTAACACAACAGAGGTAATGAAATGGTTTTGGAGCAGCCGGGGATAGCGTGACAGGCAGATCCCTCCAAGGTATGCAAACATCATGGAACTTTATATATAATTACCTTGCCATGTCAATAGCTCGTAATGAAAAAATCATTTCCATCTTTTTTCAGAGAGCTTGGTAACCACACAGGACTTCTAAATAAGCTTCATCCTATATATTTTTTGCCTATCATTAAGTGTGTGTGCTTATCATTTAATGCACAAAAGCATACAGTCAGAACTCTCTCACTCTCAGTTAGCATGCTTATGTAGTGTCATTAAAAGGAATTGCCAAATTTTTGTTGTATCAATATTACAGATGGCACAATATACACTAAATGAAGTATAAAATTATACATTCTGTGATAACTTAGAAAAAAAGTTCATAGATGCTTAAGGCCTTTAAATATGGAGGTTTTTTCATGTAACAGCACATCACAAGGTTCAAAAAATTGCTACTGAAATAGAATATTAAAAAAAGAAAATGTGATTTTGGCACAGATTAGGTTTGAATTTGAGGACAGTAAGCAAGCAAAATACTCATGAACCCTATATCTAGGAGGGCACTAGGACATTTTTCCTTTATAGCAATCAGTCTGAGCAGACATCTACATAAGCATCCAACAGTACTTAGTTTCAAGCAAGAGATTTTATTTTTCACTGAAAAGAGAAAAAAATCTGAATGATTACCACCCAATTTCATAATTGAAAAACTCATTTACATCCCTGCCTACTTTTATAAAAATGGATGAAACACTTTCCTTGACTGCTTACCATGAATTTCAGTGATTTAAAGGTTGGGAAAGTAAAGTGCAGGAACACTTGCCTCCTTCAAAGTAAATTGAAATATATATCTTAAAGGTATAAAATGCTTTATAATGGAAGTGGTAATTGAGTTTTGACCACTACTTTTTTTAACTGCCAAATAGCTGCAGTAGTTGGTTAGCCTTAGGGAAACATGTCAACCCGACTATACATTCTAATATGACTGATGTATTCAGATAACTATTACTTGTCAACAATAATTATTAACAATGGGTATATATTTCCATTCCTATAACAAAAGCAACTTCAAGATGTTGAAATATGTACCCTTTAGAGCTCCAAGATTAGATTACAAATAAAAATGTCTAAAATTGTGCCATGCCAGAGGACAATTTCTGCAATGGAAATTTAATTAAAGCAGTGTGCAGTCCCACCAGCAATCGGAATGTGGACCAGGGATCATTTTAGAGGGGAGGAACCAATGCATTTTGGAGAGTGACTTCATCAGGATGAAATGCCACCAGTCTGGAAAGAAGAATCCGAATGATTGCTGATTTTCTGCACCTTTCAAAAACCATCTCTTGAGATTACAGCTGCAAATTCCTCTGCAAGTGCAATTTTACAAGTGTACACAGTTCACTCCGTTGAAATCTTTGTGATACAGAAGTTCAAAATAACTCTTCAGTAGTTTTGATCTCAAGGCTGTTGTTGATTACAAACCAGGTTCTCATTGAAACAATTGATTCTGAAGGCTACACCCCAGCAGTACAAAATTTCACTTCAAGGATTGCCTGGAGAAATGAAATTCCTATGTGCTGTATTTAACGTTATCAGCCTTGAGACCGACTTGATTTGTCTTTAGCTATCGGGTTACCTGCAAAGAAAAAAGAAAATCAGAAAATCAAAACTGTACATAAAGAATCTACTTCTGAAGTCCTGGAAACTGAAGCTGAAATATAAGTCCTCTGTCCAGAAAATCTGTTTCAATTGTTTATAAAGAAATGAATAATTCCCATTGGTAGTGGATGGGGACACTCCCCAAGTTAGACTGGGTTATTAAGTGCTTTGTTGGAATTTGATCTCAAAAGGAGACACTCAAATGTGACCATTCTTAAAAATATAAATTAAAAAAACTGAAGGTCACAAAGAACATTGGGTTTAAGGAAACTTTCCATGTTTTGTTCATCCTTTTCAGTGTTAGAATTTCTGAACGGTAAAAACAATCCCTTTAAAATGCTAACCATCAGGTTCTGGAGACGTTTTCATCTATTCTTTGCATGCCACTTGAAAATGCAATGTTCTGTTAAGTGCTAAATATATTCTAGCAAGCAAAAACCACTTAGTGGTGAAAAAGGACAAAAGGCATGCATACATAAACAAAAGCTATATCTTTCCTGTTATTTGCAAGGTATAAAATAATTCAAGAAGTTCACTTAGAGTGATATCACCCAACATAACAGAAAACGAGTGAAAGAGAAGGATCATCTAGAAAAAGCAGCAGGCAAAGCATTTCACATTAATTGGACTTTTCTCGTGTCTAACTCGTTTTTCACATATTAAAAGAAAAAACGTCCATCATAGAAACGTAATTTTGAGGAATATTTCTGCTGTGTCAGTGGATACAATTAATGATCATGTAACATTTTAATATCCAATTGTGTCAGGGGACAACATCCCAACTTGTGATGAACAACCTAATTGGACTGGTCACAATAACACCTTATGACAGACATCAAGGGGCATATGCTCTTCATTTTGATCTCAGAGAAAAGGGTCATGCTCTGTAATGATGAAACATTCTTTTGCCTTCAGCAAAACTGTTTGCACACAGCTCTCATCAGCTCTGCAGAGCACAAACATAGAGCAGAATATTAAGAAGACTGTTCTAGGAGTTCATTACTTCAGTTTGCCTTCACTAAGTTGTTTCTAGGAACAGCAATTAGGAAGGCAATAATAAAATTGTGCTCTGTGGGTCTTATAACACCAAAGATTTATTTATTACACTTTTATTTTTAGTTCTTGATGTTGTAAATTGCTTCATGTGACCCTTTTTGTAATGGAAGATTGCATGAAACAATAACAGAGAATTAATTTAAAAGTCAGGCAACATATTCCTATACCCTACAACAGAGCTCAAAATGCTGACACATCAACTAATTGGTTTTGTTTGTTTATTTGTGTGTGTTTGTTATTGTAACAAGCTGGAATTCTACTCATGGACCCAAATGCCACTGGGATGCATACTGTAAGATATACATCTTCTGATCCTATCTGCAGGTGGAATTATATTAGCTTCACTTGATACATAAACATATAAAAAACTGTGGTAAATCATCTGATGCAAAACACACTGAAAATAGATAAAAAGAAATGAGACTCCTAAAGGAGTCAAGTAGATACAGGGCCAAAGTATCTTACATTTCTGTATCACTGAGTATACCAGAACCAAAGAAGAACCAGAGGAAGGTTTCATCAGAGACACAACTGAAAAGGCACAGTCACATGAACTCATCTGAATTCCTTTTCTGCCCACATCCACAGAGAGTAAGTCTTTGTTACTGAAAAGAGAGGACATAAGCTCTCCTTTTAGAGATGAAGTTGACCATGAGCCAGCAATATGCCCTTGTGGCAAAGAATGCTAATGGTATCCTGGTATGCATTAAGCAAAGTCAATAGAATCATAGGATCATTTGAGTTGGAAGGGATCCTAAAAGGTCATCCTGTCCTACTCTTCTGCAATGAATGACCTACAGCTAGAACACCTTGCTCAGAGCTCCATCCAGCCTGATCTCAAGTGTCTCCAGGGATGAAGAATCCACCACCTATCTGTGCAACCTGCCTCACTACCCTTATCATAAATACTTCTTCCTTATATCCAGCCTAATCTTCCTTTTAGTTTGAAGCCATTTCCCCTCGTCCTATCACAAGGGATCTTGATGACAAGTCTTTCCCTTTCATTTCTATAGCTTCCCTTAAGGTATCGAAATGTCTATTTCCCATATCTAGCTGTACAACTGTATGGTGAGAATATCCCTGTACAATCAACATGCACTGTTACATACAGTAAGTAAAGAAAAATGACTGATAGCCATTCAAATCCTTGCTTTATATCTGTGTCCAGCAATACACAAATGTCATGTTGCCTATACAGTCTACATAGGAGGTCAGGTTTCATAATCCAAGTTTTTACAGCTACATCATTGCAGTTTTTACCTCCTCTCCTTTGCCAGAATTTTTATTATTCTACCTGCTGTAGTTTTTTTTTTTCCCCTTAATGTACAGATCACACACTGCTACTCTGAGCAACACACACAGTTATCCATATTTTCCTCTATGTAGGAAGGTAATACTTGTTATGAGCAAGCACACACCAGCTATTAACATTAATGCAAATTATATATCCATACACATTAGGGAGAGAACAGACCTCTCAGATGTTAAAGGCAATTTCATAAAGAAGCAGGGAAATTTTAGCTAATATGTAGTGATGTTATTTCCAGAAATGCCTAATCTGGGACAAAATAAAAGCTGTAGGATTTGAGTAGCTGTGAAACAAGATATTGTGCCAATGGTCTTTTTAACAAAACAGGAACTGAGAACACCGTGTGTGTGATCTCTAAAATCCTAAGAGAACAGTAACACACTGAATGGGTGCAAGTCAAGACTAATCAATTTTTCAGTGAATAATTAATATGCATGAAAATTAACTTTGCTCCTGCTTAACAACACAAATGAAAAAAGTACATAGAACCTTAAGCGTCATAGGTATTGATTTGAATTAATTTGTTCATTCTTGGGACATAATTACTCCCTTTATGCTAATATATTTTTCACACGGTTATTATGTCATAAATACAATACACATTAGTCTCTCTTCACTTTCTTGTACTAAATGTGCAATTAAAGTATAATTACTCTGCCGTTGCAGACTTTTTAATTTAAATTAGTGAGTGGCTGCTGTAAGTTGGCTGTAATTGTATGTGAACTCATTTTATTTTAAAACAATAATATAAAATTAAATATATCTGAAGTTTTCCACATTTCTTCTGCTAATGTTCCTACAAGATCCAGTCCTTGGGTAAAACATTTTTGCCAGTGTGATCCAGAATGAGCCAGAAATGAGGAGATCTCAAAGGCAGCACATTAGAAAAGCGATCAGTTCAAGAGATTTTCTGGTCAGCTTCTGGTCAGTGCTACCACAAACATGAAAACTGTTCTCACTTGTGAAATTCTCATAGCTGATGAATACAGCAGATAATATGTTCTATTCTGTCAGAATAGGTTTCTGATTAAAAAAAAAAAAAAAAAAATCTGTCACTTTTACGCAAGATGCTCTCCTGCCTTAGAAGAGGAAGGAGAAAATTAAAGACTATAGGATGAAAAGCATGGCTGAGTGAATGTTCTCTATGTAAGAAAGCAGTTTTAATAACTGTCATAAACCTAAGCATCAAAGTTACAGAGTGTCAATAAGGCACAGCACAATTCTTCTATTTTTTCAGAGAAATAAATATATTGAATACATCCTAACTACATAACAGTTTATACACACAAATGAGGTATAAATGCAATCATTAACTAATTAGTAATGTTTTCAGAAAATAGATAATATAAGACAAATTGAAGTCAGTGTGTGGTGGAACATTTCATAAGGCAAATTTTTACATTACTAATTTTTTGACTGTCAGATCTATCTTTTTTGTTCCATGTTTATCATATCTCATACATAAAATCCATATTCAAAACAAAATAATGAGTTAGTAAATTTAGCACTTGAAACTTAGGAACTTCCATTCTGTGGGCGCCCTTGCAAGAAGGACACTCAGTTCTGGTTTTTACCCAAAGAATTCATATAAATATGAGAGTCAGGAAGAATTTAATACTTAATGTTTTATTGTCACCAAGTTTTGTTTCCTCTTCAATCATAATTTGTCCATCAACTATATTGCATAGGATTACAGTATGGCCACAGAATGAATGTTGTCTGAGCATACTGAAAAATCATCAAGCTATCTTTACTTTTTTCAGATATGTAAGGCAGAGAAAGGGAATTACATATTTTTAATAGTCAATAGTTCACCCTGTGCTAAGTGGAATTGCATTGGACAAGAAAAGCCTTCTTGGCACCCCTACGTTCTTCTGCATAATTTTAAAAGCCTGTAGAAAAATGGTGTGGGGGTTTCTTAAAAAATAAAAAGACTCTCAGAAACATATTTAATAGACAACAGGAGACAAGCTAAGCACACGGAGTGTCACAAGAATCCCTCAAATTCTTGAACAAAGAGACACATTACAAAAATCCCTTGCTATGAATTGTCCTCAGAAACATGTCGTGGAGGCAAGACAGAAATCTTGTACCAATAGAGTCCTTATTTGCATGCAGTACAATATTGCATCCTTACTTTTACATTCTTTCTCATACTGAACATAAACAAAGCACACATACACACACACACACACACACACAAATAATAAAGCAGTCAATGAAGTAGTCTTTTAGTAAACCTTACCTAAAATAGGATAGGTTTTAATAAAGTTATTTCAGTTATATTTTTTCATGGAAAAAAAAAAAAAAAAAAAAAAACACAACCTATTTTGGTAGTGAAAGCTTAATATGGACATTACAATGAAAAACTGAATTGTCGATATAACCAGAATCAAATCTGTCTTTTTTTTTTTTTCCCCCCCTCTTATGTGCCCTGCATAACAAGGTCTAAGCTGGAAATAAATATTTTGAACAGATGGAAGTTCATTATTTCCTGGAACTCCAAAATTCATACAGCATGTTTGTTATGCACTGTTATTCATACATGGCTTGTTAAAGCAAGTGACATTTTGCATTGCCACTTGTGCATTTTTGTTGATGAAATATTCCATACTTGCAACATACTACCTTGTATCTGTGATACTTCAAATTACTTATCAAATCTTAAATAGAGGACAAGCTGACAATTTCCACAGAACATGAGAATCCTGTATTTTATTTTCTACATTAAGGAACAGACAAAGGACAGACAAAGAGAGTGGTTAAGGATATGTTTGCAATAGGGTATCCATATTTGTGTGCACTTAATAGTAGATAGGTGTAGATTTATGTGTCTATAATAGATAACCAATTCATGAGGGAGAAATCATTTCAAAAGTTTGAGAAAGGTTGAAGCGATTCATTTGTACTTCAGAAGTACGCTTAATAGAGTAACTGCAAAAGAGAACTAAGAGTTGGGAAACAGGCTGCTGTTTCATGACAGTAGACTGTTACTTGACTTGAGCTAATGACACAAGACAATATTAGAGTTATTTCTGGCTGTGAAAACAGCTATTTAATTATAACTATACCAATTAATTTACCTTCAGTGAGGGTTAAGTATTGACGGATTTTTTCAAGTCCTCAATTATTTCATTCCTGGCAATAAAATTTCAGCCATACCTGTCTCTTGATATCAAAACTCAAGAGTATTAATTTCTTCTCTTCACTATACTTTAGAGAATGCAATATAAAATGTGTTTCTAAACATGTTCACAACCATGCAGCAAAGCAATTTAGAATTTTAGATCCTCAGGTATGTCCTTCGGCAAACAACTCTAGCTCATTTCATTAATTAAACAGAACATTTCCCAATACATTTAAATGGCTCCAAAGTTTCCAATGTCTTTCATTAGTACTAGATTTGAAAGCTCTTAATACTTTTGTGCTTTTATTGCACTCCGACTAAACAGAATTGTATTTGTGAACATTCTGGTACTTTAGACTGTTCATTAGAATGAAAATAACATTGAAAACTCGTTTCACACCGTGCTGTTTGAGTATACTTTTGTATTTCATGTTTTCTCACTATTCTTAATGATTTTGGCAGGAAATTTTAGCTGTTAAATATGCAGATCTAGAGAAGCATTGTTAAACACTGTAAGGAAAACTAAAAGGGCTTTCAGATGTAAATTGAGCTTTCCATTTGCCCCATATATACTAATCATATGCCAAGTGAACTTAAAGCTAGAACTAGAAAAACAGAAGAAAAATATTTTAGAGCATGGCATACATTTCTGAAAACAGGAGAGTTTTAAGATTAAACAGACAAATTCTATTATATTTAAGGAATATGGCACAAATACCCCTTTCCCAACTTGCTCTGAATTGTAAGTAATTGAGTATGATACCAAGCTTTTAACAATGAAACATCTATCTGCATGTACCAAGATGTATGTCTTTTTAAACAGTGCTTTCATGCTTTCCTACAATGATAACACAAATGTATTAACTGGATCTCTCTTTGAAAGGGGAGTGAGAGAAGAAAGATGTTTAAAGGCTTTTAGAAGCACCTGATTGATGCACTGAAGCTGCTTAGCAACACAGGGCTGAGTCTCTTGAACACCCTCCTGGAGTCTTACACAAATAAGCCAGGATTCCTGTGTATCTGCAGCAAACTAAATAACTACAATGAAGAATAAGGTACAACAGTTCCTGTTAATACTATGTAAACCTGTATTTGTACACACCTGCTGCTCTGTGAGTAATAAACCAGGGCTGGAACACATTTTCTGGAGTGGTTTGACTCTTTATTCCTCAACGAACGTTCTGGCCCTTCCTTAGAATCCGACCATGACTAGGATTCATCACAACTAGTGCTCCAACGTGGAGCCAGATTATTTAGTATGTGTGGAAAAATCATAAATTGTCATCAGGCACAGCAGAAACCTCCTTTCTCTACTTCTCCATTCGGACTTGAAGAGTTTTACACGTTTGCCTAAGAAACAAACACATGTCAAGTACTACACTGTTATGGAATTACTTACAGAAAACAAAACTGGGATAGATGGAATTTTCTTTAACTTACAGGTAAAAGTGCAGAACAACAGGAGGAAACATATTTCAGAACCAAAGTAAATTCTCTTAGCAAAGGAGCATGGTCTCAAAAAATAACCTGAACAATAACAGCAATTTCAAAGGAAAAGGTTCAAATATACTCAAATTCAGACTTCGTGATTTGTCTAGAAAACCAAACAGAAGTGGATAAGTAGCATTTGCTCTCATTTCTGCACGTATGTCAGTGTTCTATTATTAAACAGTAATTGAAAGAATTGAATAGAATAGAACTTTGATACAAATAAGAGACATGTGACCAGAATACATTTCCTTCTAAATGAAAGACTTGAGTGTTTTCTTAACGTTAAAAAATACATTAAATACATTTAAAAAAAAAACCACAAAACAAAAGCAAAAGAACTCAATTGCATCAAGTTTGACAAAAATGTGCATTCAGAGGAGAACTCTACTTACAGTCTCTTCTATGGCTAGTAGGCTACAGGAAACACCATAAAATAACATCAAAACATGCTGTTTAATTCAGGCACCTATTTCCTTATCTTTTGAGATTTTTTAGATAAGTTTTGGATTTGCTGATAAATTCTGACTGCTTCTGAAAAGGGTTTCACAGCACCTCAAAAGACCAACTTATTTTCTTTAAATAATGCTTACGAAAGATAATTATCTTCCTTTTTTTCTTTTTCTATTAGACCTTTTAACATAAATGTCCTACTGCAGATTATTAGAAACGTCTATTACAAGATAAAACTCATAAGTTGGATGGTCCCTTGATTTAATAAAATAACTACATATTTAAAATATTATCAGAGAAATAAATGTGGCTCTGGATTCACATTCACTTGAATTTGATATTTTACAAAATAAATGTAATTGATATAATGCACTGGGACAATTATCATAGTATATAACTGATGAAGACATTTGAGTTATGTCAAAGATAAATATAATTCATTACTTTTTCAAATGTATTTTGTTGTTAATCTCTTCCAAAAGACAATGTCACTACAATGTCCATAACTAAACTTTCTCAGTGATTCTGTAATTCAGCAGAGAAATCAAGTTTATGTTAGACTGTTAAAACTTCACGAAATTTTTCATTTACAGACAAAAGTTTTGTATTGAGAGAAGACTTAAACATAAACCTTATTTTACTTTCTGTAACAGATAATAACTGTAGTAATTCAGACAAGGATATATCCTCTTGTGGTTTTTGGAGGTGATCACAACTCCACAGTGGGACTGCAGCATGACGACATAAAAGACTGCAAGACAATTAATTAAAAAAATGTAATTTTCTTCTGTTTTACACCATCTAATAGTCACAAAAGGAAGACAAAAATAACCTCAGTCCTTTTTACAACAAGGCAATCTGAAGGATTATAGAGTCATACTACCCTGCTAACTCTGAGAAAGTAAAGGGAAAAGCAGAGTCCTTTTGTCTTTCACTCAAACTTACAGCACTAATCTAAATAACCTACTATTATTCTTGATTGGAAAGTGAAACCTCTACCAATGAGCTACGAGTCTAATATGCTAACAAAAAGGAAGTCATTATTTTAAACTAGGTTGAGTTTTTAAATTACCTAGTAGCTAAAATGGATTTTCACCTTCTAATATATTTTTCCAGAAACTGTCTAAGATTGAACTTCAAATTATCCCTAGTAATGTGTTATCCCCAGGTGTGTTATTTTTCTAGGGATTTTGAATGAAGAATAACAAGCCATTTGGATGAAATCAAAATAGAAACATAAATTATTTCCTTACCTGTAATTTTATCTCCTCTATGAGGGTACCTGCTGCTTTGTTAGTGCAGTACTGATGTGTTTTCTACCTTTGTCCCAAGCTCCAGATTCCTTTGGTGATTTTCCCCCACTTGCTTACCAGCTTCCACTGCTGGCATTTTGAGGTAGTGCACTCACATTTGGCTCCACGAATACTGCCACAGCTGAGGGAATATAAGACAACTAAAAAACAAGTTAGAATACAGGAGAGCAATATCCAGGCAGGAAAAAAAAAATGTTTAAAAACAACGAATCAGTCAGCAACTTGAAACACTTTGATCATTTTCCTCTTTCTTTCCATCAATTTAGAGTCTCCAAATAAAGAAAAGACTTTCCCGTGTGCAGAGAAAATTAAGGCAAAGTAGTGAGTGCTGACAGAGGAGTGGGAATCCATTTAGAGAATATAAAATAATTTTAAGGGAATCTAATTTTAACGTTCTCCAGTTTGAGTACCCATCACACTATCACTCTAATACAAATAAGAAACAGAAGAAAGGTGGCAGATTTAGAAGATTACAGAAAAATCCCTTTCACCCTTTGTCAGTTCTTAATAGAAGCAAGAAAAGGGAAGAATGAAGAGCTTTTCACTGAAAAGCTGTCATAGATGAACAATTAGGATGATTTCTCACTGCCTAGGGAAAAATACATAAAGCCTGGTTCACTAGGAAGTAGTCAGGGTCACAGTTGCTCATTCCTGACTAGCTCTTGGTCTTGGTTATTAGAGAAAAAGAATGAAAAAAGAGAAATCAGTACTTCCAATTTAAATTTAAAAAAAATATATACAGAACAGAGAGCAAATTCACCATCTGTGCTTGAAGGAGCATGCAGATGACTAAGTTTCCCTGTGATCTTCTTGAACATCTGACATGTATGATCACAACTTCCTGTGACATTCTTGGAAGCATACACGTTGATATTAATTCCAGAAAAATTCTTTGATGGTCCTCATCAGCATTTTCTACAAACTTGTGATAAACTTGAAATACCTCCTTGCTTGAGTATAATGGATATTTCCAGGTAAAAGATACAACTTCCTATAACTTCTGTGTTCTGGGGATTACCTTAATGGTGTTTTTTGGACCTCATAGTGCACAGAAAATTTGAAGTAATGAAGAAAAGGCCAAAAGGTTCTGAAGGTTGTAGCCTTCATATTTCAGAAATGTAAGTAACAATTATGTGATTTAATGTCAAGAAAGAGAAAAAGGACTATCGCATGGAAATCTCTTGAATGACTCTCAAAAAGAAATTGGCTTTGCCAGCAATCAGCTTCAAAACTGACAAGCTGCATTCTAAGAGAAAGTTTATTCTTCCTTTTTTGTAGATAATGTTGAACAATAACTATTGTCAACTGGAATTAGAATTATGCCTTGAAGACAATAAATTTGCTAAGCTGTTCTTTTCCAAGATCACTCCAAAAAGATTGCAAGGAGGTACAACAGAGGGATCTCAAGATTCTAGACTAGCTACTGTACATTTGACTAGATTGGTAACAGCACAAGAAAAGTTAACTTCTTTGGTCTTCTTTTGGCAGGGTTATGTCCCTAAGCCACAAAGCTCAAATTCAAGATGAAAGAAAAAGCTGCTGTTCTGTCTAGCATTGAGAATACATATTTTCTGGTATTCTCAAACTTGAACACACATAATTTTTGGACAGTTTAAAATACATTAAAATTCTTGAATCTTCCATTCCATTCACAGGCTAAATAGAAACAATCCATTGTTCACTTGATATGGTACCCATCTTTATAAACTGGAGACACCCTAGTGTTCACTTCTGGTTTTAGAGACTTTACCAAGATAATGCTACAGGTCACATTAGGCAAAGAAGTCATGGTGAAATTGATATTTTGCAGCTTTGCTCAAAATCTTCACTTCAGAGCTCTATGGTATTTCTCACTGCAGATATAGAAGGCAATGAATGGTAGTCCTTAGGACTGAAAGATCTGAGAACAAATCGTCTGTACATGCTAATAAAGGAGCAGAAGAAAGCTCAAAATGTACTTTTAGAACATACAAAAACCTTCGCAGACTTTTCTCAGTAACAGTAGTATCTTGCCCAAGATGAACCAAGTCTTCCTCAGGGTGAAAAAGGAGTAAATTATAAGCTTTGAAAATATAAATAAATTTGAAAATCTTACAGAAATGAATTTAATGTTGGTCCTCTAATTTTTTTTATTATTTTTTTTTTAAATTCAGTCCTAGAGATCAGTCTCTCATTTAATCTTGCCTGAAACACTTATTTTTTTTCTTCCATCTAAATACTCTTTGGTTAGGAATGGACTGTTTTCATTATTCTAATTAGGATTGGAACTGATTTGAGAGTTTTTCACTGGTCACACCAGTGACTGTATGAATGCTTTGTATGACTGACTTTGTCTAATTGTTTTTTATTTTCTATTCATTTTTTTCTCTGCCACTAGAAGGCAAAAAAGCAGAGCTAAAACAGAGCAGAACATCTGAGGTTTTCTATACAGACCTAATGAATAAGAAAATACCTCAAAACTATGAAATTTGGGAGAACTGAAAGTAATACCTTTTAGAAAACTGGGGTACATTTTCCCACACCCTTACATCATTTCTGTGGCTGAACAGTTTGTGAAGCTTGTGCAAAACAGAGGCAGGAGTTCTGCATACAGCATTGGGTAATGAGAGCTTTCAGAATACTCCAGTCCTTCTGAATGAAATTCAGTCTTTCTGACTTTCAGAAATGATCCAAAGCACTCATAGACCACAAAAGAGGGTGTGACAAGCAAGAAACACTAGTTTTTGAGCATACCAACATTACTCACGTGATGCTGGCATTTGAATGTCATCTCCCTATATTCGTAAGGTACTGCAAACTGACAAAGGTTTCCCATTGCTAAAGCTAAATAAGACTGCTAGATATTCAAAGATTCTATCTTACATAGCTCTGAAAAGGCACAGATGCTGTAAATGAGAGAAAAAACATCTGTGGTTTCAATGTTATGCCTTTTCCACTTTGTAGAGCAGTGGAGAAAACCAGTAATTTACATATGGCCTTCAGAAGTCATTCTCATTTTCCATTATAGAGGCAGAAAGTTATTCATCAGACATGAGTTTAGTATCTCAAATATGCCAGCAAGAGAAAAACTGAGGAGAAAAAATAATAATTAAAAAAACCACAAGTGGAAGTGGAATCTTTTGGGACAAAGGCAGAAAACCTCTCAGCAGGACTGATGGAGTGAAGGATTCCCAGGTGGAAGAAAGCAATACTTGCAAAAAAATAACCGATTAGTTAATTAATGACATGCAGTTAAATGCATTTATGCTTTTCTTTAACAATGACAGAAATATTTGTCTTTGATTTTAGAGTAATTCCACCAATTTTAAACTTTTGTAAAGGCTAAAATGATGCCGTGCAATGGATGCTACCTGCAGTTTTGCCAAAAAGAAAACTATCCCCTCATAAAAATGTATAAACCATGATATATATTACTAACACTTTATGAGTGTGGAAAAGGGTTTGCAGAAGATTTCATTTCTCATGATTTGTGCAGAGAACCTGCTCATAAAAATAATTGGAATAACACCTCAGAACAGCTACAGACAAGACCTAAGGCAGTCCCAAGTAGTACCAGGCACAGAAAAAAAGAATCAAGGCAAATTTTCAAACCTTCTAGGCAATTAAATTCTGAGAATTAAAAAAATAATAATAAAAGTACCACTCAGATTTTCATATATTTTCTTAAAGTAACACATTAACAAGCTCTTCCTGTTCAGAAGAACTATACGTATGAATATTGCCCTTATCCATTCTCTTTTGGTGTTCTGTTTTGCGACAGAAAATTTCTTGGGTTGAATATTTGGACTATCTTGACCTGCCCAAGTTTTACTGTCATTCGATGACTTTGCTTATAACATTTCAGACTTCAGATACAAAACACTTTCATTACATAATTTCATACAAAACATTTTTTACATCCCTATTTTTGTGTCGATTTCATTGCTTTCTGGAATGCACTGGATTCATTTTTTCCATCATATTTCAACAGAGTTTGGGTGGATCACTTGTTCCACCTTGTAATCAGTTCAAGAAGTCCATCTGTATTTATAGTGTAGAAAAGGTAAGCAGGAAATGGAAGAACAAGTTAAGACCAAGTTGGAAACCAGGTCTAGTATGTGACATCATACAGCAATGAACTGCTAACTTTTTTTTTATACTAGTCTATAATAGTATTCTATTCTACTAATTCTATTCTACTAATTCTATATCCTTACTCTTATGGGTTTTGTAGTTAGTTCTGTAATTAACTTGTATTCATGTAATTAGAGTCACATGCCTGTGAAAAAGCTCTGCACTGAACTATTAGATCTGCTTCAAATAATTAGCACAGCCTGTGAACTATCTCTGTTATGCATTCCTATGTCAAAACCTCCACACATGCTCTAAGTGCCCTTTTTTGCTACCTTAATTCTCTTCTTCTTCTAACCCCTAATCACCGTAGCTTGTGTCTCATGTCTTGTTTTTTGTTTTTATTTGTTTTTAATACACATTTGTCTTTAGGAAAAAAACTATGACTTGTCTAGATTTTTGTGATCTATAAATGGCTGTAATCAAGCAGTGAGCCTAAACTCACATCAAATATATACTTGTAACAGGAACCTTTCCATAGGATAGAACAAGGCCTGCCAACTTCATGTTTAAGACATAAATTTGGTATTTCGCAGATATTTTTAAGAGATTCAGTGAATTATTTAGCCTTGAAAACTGGTGATTCATTCAAACCTTTTGGAAAGCTACACTTGGGAAACTCTAATGTGTGCTGGCCAGAGATGTTAAATATTTTCCTCAAAATCTCCACGTGTCCAAAAAAGATTACTGTTTGGGCAACCTACAAAAAAATACTGATCTTCAATATGAATGAGTTGGGACAGGGGATCAAAACAATAATCACTAACGCAAAAAGTTAACATGACCCTAGAAAATGTTACCTTATTTCCATTCCCAGCTCATTTGTTCCCTGAAACTTGTGTGCATTTTTTAAGAAAATGTAGACATACCATTTATTGCTATTTTAATGACAGATTAGATACACTTGGTCTCTGAGCTAGCAATGAGAAACATGCTGAGACAGCTGCAAATTTCTGCTGGTGACAGATTAGCCAAAGGCATAGAAAGAGATACCATAGCAACAAAGAGCCA